CGGCATGTGATGGCGCATGTGATGGCGGCATGTGATGGCGGCATGTGATGGCGGCATGTGATGGCGGCATGTGATGGCGGCATGTGATGGCGGCATGTGATGGCGGCATGTGATGGCGGCATGTGATGGCGGCATGTGATGGCGGCATGTGATGGCGGCATGTGATAGGCGGCATGTGATGGCGGCATGTGATGGCGGCATGTGATGGCGGCATGTGATGGCGGCATGTGATGGCGCATGTGATGGCGGCATGTGATGGCGGCATGTGATGGCGGCATGTGATGGCGGCATGTGATGGCGGCATGTGATGGCGGCATGTGATGGCGGCATGTGATGGCGGCATGTGATGGCGGCATGTGATGGCGGCATGTGATGGCGGCATGTTGATGGCGGCATGTGATGGCGGCATGTGATGGCGGCATGTGATGGCGGCATGTGATGGCGGCATGTGATGGCGGCATGTGATGGCGGCATGTGATGGCGGCATGTGATGGCGGCATGTGATGGCGGCATGTGATGGCGGCATGTGATGGCGGCATGTGATGGCGGCATGTGATGGCGGCATGTGATGGCGGCATGTGATGGCGGCATGTGATGGCGGCATGTGATGGCGGCATGTGATGGCGGCATGTGATGGCGGCATGTGATGGCGGCATGTGATGGCGGCATGTGATGGCGGCATGTGATGGCGGCATGTGATGGCGGCATGTGATGGCGGCATGTGATGGCGGCATGTGATGGCGGCATGTGATGGCGGCATGTGATGGCGGCATGTGATGGCGGCATGTGATGGCGGCATGTGATGGCGGCATGTGATGGCGGCATGTGATGGCGGCATGTGATGGCGGCATGTGATGGCGGCATGTGATGGCGGCATGTGATGGCGGCATGTGATGGCGGCATGTGATGGCGGCATGTGATGGCGGCATGTGATGGCGGCATGTGATGGCGGCATGTGATGGCGGCATGTGATGGCGGCATGTGATGGCGGCATGTGATGGCGGCATGTGATGGCGGCATGTGATGGCGGCATGTGATGGCGGCATGTGATGGCGGCATGTGATGGCGGCATGTGATGGCGGCATGTGATGGCGGCATGTGATGGCGGCATGTGATGGCGGCATGTGATGGCGGCATGTGATGGCGGCATGTGATGGCGGCATGTGATGGCGGCATGTGATGGCGGCATGTGATGGCGGCATGTGATGGCGGCATGTGATGGCGGCATGTGATGGCGGCATGTGATGGCGGCATGTGATGGCGGCATGTGATGGCGGCATGTGATGGCGGCATGTGATGGCGGCATGTGATGGCGGCATGTGATGGCGGCATGTGATGGCGGCATGTGATGGCGGCATGTGATGGCGGCATGTGATGGCGGCATGTGATGGCGGCATGTGATGGCGGCATGTGATGGCGGCATGTGATGGCGGCATGTGATGGCGGCATGTGATGGCGGCATGTGATGGCGGCATGTGATGGCGGCATGTGATGGCGGCATGTGATGGCGGCATGTGATGGCGGCATGTGATGGCGGCATGTGATGGCGGCATGTGATGGCGGCATGTGATGGCGGCATGTGATGGCGGCATGTGATGGCGGCATGTGATGGCGGCATGTGATGGCGGCATGTGATGGCGGCATGTGATGGCGGCATGTGATGGCGGCATGTGATGGCGGCATGTGATGGCGGCATGTGATGGCGGCATGTGATGGCGGCATGTGATGGCGGCATGTGATGGCGGCATGTGATGGCGGCATGTGATGGCGGCATGTGATGGCGGCATGTGATGGCGGCATGTGATGGCGGCATGTGATGGCGGCATGTGATGGCGGCATGTGATGGCGGCATGTGATGGCGGCATGTGATGGCGGCATGTGATGGCGGCATGTGATGGCGGCATGTGATGGCGGCATGTGATGGCGGCATGTGATGGCGGCATGTGATGGCGGCATGTGATGGCGGCATGTGATGGCGGCATGTGATGGCGGCATGTGATGTGGCGGCATGTGATGGCGGCATGTGATGGCGGCATGTGATGGCGGCATGTGATGGCGGCATGTGATGGCGGCATGTGATGGCGGCATGTGATGGCGGCATGTGATGGCGGCATGTGATGGCGGCATGTGATGGCGGCATGTGATGGCGGGCATGTGATGGCGGCATGTGATGGCGGCATGTGATGGCGGCATGTGATGGCGGCATGTGATGGCGGCATGTGATGGCGGCATGTGATGGCGGCATGTGATGGCGGCATGTGATGGCGGCATGTGATGGCGGCATGTGATGGCGGCATGTGATGGCGGCATGTGATGGCGGCATGTGATGGCGGCATGTGATGGGCGGCATGTGATGGCGGCATGTGATGGCGGCATGTGATGGCGGCATGTGATGGCGGCATGTGATGGCGGCATGTGATGGCGGCATGTGATGGCGGCATGTGATGGCGGCATGTGATGGCGGCATGTGGATGGCGGCATGTGATGGGCGGCATGTGATGGCGGCATGTGATGGCGGCATGTGATGGCGGCATGTGATGGCGGCATGTGATGGCGGCATGTGATGGCGGCATGTGATGGCGGCATGTGATGGCGGCATGTGATGGCGGCATGTGATGGCGGCATGTGATGGCGGCATGTGATGGCGGCATGTGATGGCGGCATGTGATGGCGGCATGTGATGGCGGCATGTGATGGCGGCATGTGATGGCGGCAATGTTGATGGCGGCATGTGATGGCGGCATGTGATGGCGGCATGTGATGGCGGCATGTGATGGCGGCATGTGATGGCGGCATGTGATGGCGGCATGTGATGGCGGCATGTGATGGCGGCATGTGATGGCGGCATGTGATGGCGGCATGTGATGGCGGCATGTGATGGCGGCATGTGATGGCGGCATGTGATGGCGGAATGTGATGGCGGCATGTGATGGCGGCATGTGATGGCGGCATGTGATGGGCGGCATGGGATGGCGGAGCAATGTGATGCGGCATGTGATGGCGGCATGTGATGGCGGCATGTGATGGCGGCATGTGATGGCGGCATGTGATGGCGGCATGTGATGGCGGACAGTGTGATGCGGCATGTGATGGCGGCATGTGATGGCGGCATGTGATGGCGGCATGTGATGGCGGCATGTGATGGCGGCATGTGATGGCGGCATGTGATGGCGGCATGTGATGGTGCGGCATGTGATGGCGGCATGTGATGGCGGCATGTGATGGCGGCATGTGATGGCGGCATGTGATGGCGGCATGTGATGGCGGCATGTGATGGCGGCATGGGATGGCGGCATGTGATGGCGGCATGTGATGGCGGCATGTGATGGCGGCATGTGATGGCGGCATGTGATGGCGGCATGTGATGGCGGCATGTGATGGCGGCAATGTGATGGCGGCATGTGATGGCGGCATGTGATGGCGGCATGTGATGGCGGGCATGTGATGGCGGCATGTGATGGCGGCATGTGATGGCGGCATGTGATGGCGGCATGTGATGGCGGCATGTGATGGCGGCATGTGATGGCGGCATGTGATGGCGGCATGTGATGGCGGCATGTGATGGCGGCATGTGATGGCGGCATGTGATGGCGGCATGTGATGGCGGCATGTGATGGCGGCATGTGATGGCGGCATGTGATGGCGGCATGTGATGGCGGCATGTGATGGCGGCATGTGATGGCGGCATGTGATGGCGGCATGTGATGGCGGCATGTGATGGCGGCATGTGATGGCGGCATGTGATGGCGGCATGTGATGGCGGCATGTGATGGCGGCATGTGATGGCGGCATGTGATGGCGGCATGTGATGGCGGCATGTGATGGCGGCATGTGATGGCGGCATGTGATGGCGGCATGTGATGGCGGCATGTGATGGCGGCATGTGATGGCGGCATGTGATGGCGGCATGTGATGGCGGCATGTGATGGCGGCATGTGATGGCGGCATGTGATGGCGGCATGTGATGGCGGCATGTGATGGCGGCATGTGATGGCGGCATGTGATGGCGGCATGTGATGGCGGCATGTGATGGCGGCATGTGATGGCGGCATGTGATGGCGGCATGTGATGGCGGCATGTGATGGCGGCATGTGATGGCGGCATGTGATGGCGGCATGTGATGGCGGCATGTGATGGCGGCATGTGATGGCGGCATGTGATGGCGGCATGTGATGGCGGCATGTGATGGCGGCATGTGATGGCGGCATGTGATGGCGGCATGTGATGGCGGCATGTGATGGCGGCATGTGATGGCGGCATGTGATGGCGGCATGTGATGGCGGCATGTGATGGCGGCATGTGATGGCGGCATGTGATGGCGGCATGTGATGGCGGCATGTGATGGCGGCATGTGATGGCGGCATGTGATGGCGGCATGTGATGGCGGCATGTGATGGCGGCATGTGATGGCGGCATGTGATGGCGGCATGTGATGGCGGCATGTGATGGCGGCATGTGATGGCGGCATGTGATGGCGGCATGTGATGGCGGCATGTGATGGCGCATGTGATGGCGGCATGTGATGGCGGCATGTGATGGCGGCATGTGATGGCGGCATGTGATGGCGGCATGTGATGGCGGCATGTGGATGGCGGCAGGTGATGGCGGCATGTGATGGCTGCATGTGATTGGCGGCATGTGATGGCGGCATGTGATGGCGGCATGTGATGGCGGGCCATGTGATGGCGGCATGTGATGGCGGCATGTGATGGCGGCATGTGATGGCGGCATGTGATGGCGGCATGTGATGGCGGCATGTGATGGCGGCATGTGATGGCGGCATGTGATGGCGGCATGTGATGGCGGCATGTGATGGCGGCATGTGAGGACTGGAAGCTGCACATGGTGGTCGATTCATCACGCATGCATGTGATGTGCTGAAAGAGGAAACGTCAGTTTCATTTCGGCACATCTTGGGATTTCTACTGAAAAAAAAAGGAAAGAAATAGAAGGAAAGACACACCAGCATGCCTCACAGCCACGTCAGCAGCGGTAGGTACCTTATTGGCCATCTCCACGTAGAGGTACTCGTCTGAGAACGGTGCCACGTGGATCCTGATGAGGTGGATCATGGCACGTGGCAGGGGACAGGGTTTAGAGATGGTGAGAGGTGGGGGAGAGCAATAAAGCACATGCATTGAAGGATGAGGGATGGGGGAGCATGAGGATGGGGAGGATGGGCACTCCTACCTACCAGACTACCATGCCCACCAGCACTGCACGGAAGGCAGGAGGCAGGAGGCAGGAGGCAGGAGGCAGGAGGCAGGATGAATGAGAAGCACAAGCTAACGACAGCACAGGCACAACCCAGGCGTGTGATGATTGACGCAAGCAAGGTTCAAGGAAACACGGATAGCACTAACTGCCACTCTGCAAGCACCACACCCCACTGCAGCGCACCTGCCCGCGCTGGGGAACATCCACGTGTTTGAAGAAGTGTTTTAAGACGTCGGTCTCAAAGCGCACCTGCCAGCGCTGGGGAACATCTTCCCCCCGGGCTTGAGGAAGCGGTTGCGCGCGATCACGTACGTCTCCAGCATGCGCTCGTTCACCAGCAGCGTGCCTGGCGGGGGCAAGGGGGTGTGGGGCAAGTGGGGGATGTGGGTGGGGGACGCCGGGGAAGTGAAGAGGTGGGGAAGACGGGGGAGGTGGAGGGTGCATTTTGAGGCGAGTCTTTGCATCGTTAACCAGCAGAGCCCTGCACGCTGGGAAGGACGAAGGGTGTGGGCGGGCGGGTGAAGGGAGGGAGAAGGGGCGGTTGGGTTGGACGAAAGATTGGGCAGATGAAACGGAATGGGAACGGTCGGAGATGAAACGGGTGGAGATGAAACGGGTGGAGATGAAACGGGCGGAGATGAAACGGGACTGACCCATGGGCTCGGAGATGAGTACGTCCGCCTGGAAGGGCAGCGACACGTCCTCCGCCTTGCCGTGTATTATCTGCTCTCAAGGAGGGCGCGCAAGGGGGCGCGGGGGAAAGGGCAGGAGGAGGGGGAAATGGGGGAAATGAGGGCGGCGGGAGGCGGCAGCGGAAGGGCAGCGACACGTCCTCAACGGGAGATGGTGAAAGGTGTGGTGTGAGAGGCGGTGCGTGAGGTGGAGTGTGGGGTGCGGTAGGTCGCGCGCGGGGACTGACTGTGATGTTCTGGCCGAGCAGCGGGTTACCCGCCGCGAGCTTGGACGCGTGGTGCGCCATGTTGCTCGCCTCGATCGCGTACACGTGCTTCGCCCCCGCCTGCTCTCCGCCTCGCGCGCGCACAGGCCACGGCGCATACCGCACGGATCACAGCGGGGGGGAGGCGAACGGGAGAGCGGGGGGGGGGGGGGGGGGGGGGGGGGGGGGGTTGGGGGGGAGTGAGGGATGTGTTCTCAAACCACGTAACGGTACTCTGACGCGCCTCAAGGATCAGAAGGCGCGTGGCAGGCGGCGGGAAGTGCACGGGCAGCGCGGAGGAGCGGAACGGATCCAGGGGGAAGACGCGCATGGGTGCAGCGGGCAGCGAGTGAGCGAGCGTGCAGGAGCGCAGCGGACAGGGGCGGAGCGAGGGGAGCAGGGGGAGGTTGGCGCACCCTAGCGGCGAAGAGGCTGAGAATGCCGCTGCCCGCGCCCACGTCGACCACGATCTTCCCCTCGAAGTCCGCGCGGTTCTCCATCACCGCCGCGTAGTACGTGCCTGCGCGCACGGGGGCGCGGGGGAGCGGGGAGCGGAAGAGAGGCGGGGAGAGGCGGGGAGAGGCGGGGAGAGAGAGGGGAGGGGTGGGGAGAGGAAGGGAAGGGGAAGAGGGGACGGAGTGGGGAGAGGAAATGGGGGAGAGGCGGGGAGAGGCGGGGAGAGAGAGGGGAGGGGTGGGGAGAGGAAGGGAAGGGGAAGAGGGGACGGAGTGGGGAGAGGAAATGGAGGAGAGGGGGTGAGAAGGGGGAGGTGTGGGGAGCAGAAGCATGCCCCCCGGGCAGTCCGCCCGCACACATGCGATGGTCGGATGTGCGCATGGCTCTGCGTCCACACGAACAGCGCCGGCAAGCACGCGCGCAGAGGCGGAGAGAGGGGGGAAGAGGGGGAGAGCGGCGGAGAGAGGCGGGGAGAGGCGGGGAGCGGCGGAGAGTGGCTCCCACCTGTGCGGACGTAGTCCTGCAGCATGTTCTGCTGGTGCAGCAGCTGGCCGTAGTAATGGAAGTACATCTTAGCACTCGACGCCTCTATCTTGCGGTCAAACGCACTCGCGCCCTCCTCGCCGCCACCACCGCCGCCGCTACCAGCAGCTGCGGCAGTGGAAGGAGCAGAAGTGCCGGTCCCGGCAGGTTCCTCTCGCGCTTCCCCTGCGGCTACCCCGTTCGGAACGCCGCCTCCTTCGCAATCCGCGCTGCCCGCCCCTGCTCCCGCTCCCCCTGCTGCTGCTGCTGCCCTGTTAGCACCAGCAGCACCAGCAGCAGTAGCATTGGCAACAGCACCGCCCGTGGCAGTAGTAGCAGCGGCAGCGGCGGCGGAGGAGGAGGGCGCGGAGCGGGAAGCGGACTGCCAGGCGGAGAGCGCGCGGGAGAATGCGTCCGCCTGCGAGGAGAGGAGGAAGCGGATGGAGTAGGCCGTCGCGACCGCGGGCGACGGGGGCGCGGGGGATGAGGCGGAGGGATACGGCGGCGGGCGCGCGGACGGGGACTGGCGCGGCTGGGATGCCGACAGTTACGTTGGAGCCGTGCGTGGTGAGGGGATTCGGAAGGGGGGGGAGTGAAGGGGTGAACGGAGGGGAGGGAGGGTAAGATGGTTGGGGAACATGAAGGGAGGAAGAAGGGGAGTGCACACGAAGGACGAGGGAGAGGGTGATGCTGGATTGAGGAAGACATGTGTGCTGGATTGTGGTACTAACAAAATAAGGCGGACAATGAGGAGGAGGAGGAGGAGGAGGAGGAGGAGGAGGAGGAGGAGGAGGAGGAGGAGGAGGAGGAGGAGGAGGAGGAGGAGGAGGAGGAGGAGGAGGAGGAGGAGTAGGAGGAGGAGGAGGAGGAGGAGGAGGAGGAGGAGGAGGAGGAGGAGGAGGAGGAGGAGGAGGAGGAGGAGGAGGAGGAGGAGGAGGAGGAGGAGGAGGAGGAGGGAGTGGGGAGAGGAGGGAGAGGGAGCGCGGAGCGTACTTGCGAGGCGGGCGATGGCGAGGGAAGCACGAGGATGAAGCCATGCGAGCCAACACGGTGGACCTGACACCAGGGGGAGCAAGGAGAGACAATGCAACGGGACACGTGGAGGAGTGTGGCGCATCGCATGTCGGACGTGTGATGGTACGAAAAAACACAATCGCCTTTCCCCCACTCGTGACTCTTCCCTCTCCGCTCTCTTCCCTCCATTTTTTCTTCACCCCAGTGTCTCCCTGCGGAGAACCCTCCTTTCTCCGTCCGCCTTCGCTCCACTGCTGCTCACACGCGGCGTCTCACTCCTTCCTACCGCACCTCACCTGGCAGTCCGACTCCACTTGAAGGATCGGATCCATGATCAACCAGTCTCGCGCACCGCCGCCGCCATTACCGTCCACGCCGCTGCCTCCTGCGCCTCCGCCTCCGCCGCCGCCGCAAGCGGCTTCCTCGGAGAGGCCCGAGTCGTCGGTGATCATCATGGCGGCGGGCGCGGGGGGCCGCGGGCGGAACTGCAGCACGGATCGGCCGTCCGCGATAAAGACGGCCTCGACATCGCGATGCGCGTCCCACGAGGATGTGGCAGGGTCCATGCGCGAGAGCATGACGTGGCGGAAGGTCCAGGCCATGGCTGCTCCTGCTGTTGCTGCTGATGCGGCGGAAACGAAGCGGTGCTACTAGAAACCGTTACTGGGGATGCGGTGACCGCAGCAGCTTGGCAAGTTGGCGGCGATAAGAGAGAGAGAGAAAAAAGAACAAGAACAAGAATGGACTATGCGCTATGGCTGTCACGGCTGCCGGGGCCGCTAAAAGTAGTTGCGGCAGTGGCCGCGGGTCCAGAACCTACGCCTTGCTTTGATGATTGCTCGCTTCTTTGAGATCGCCAGCTCGACGACTAACCACGGACTCTTCTTGCACTGCCCTCTTTTAAGACGCGCCGCAAGAAAACGCTGCCGCGAACCGTGATTAATCGGCGATGCGTTGCGTGGCGAGAGCGCACGCAAGGATGCTGGCGTCGCCCCGATCCGTCGATTTCCGGCACCACAAAGTGGTTACTGGACGGATAGTTGGAAATCGGTTGTTGCGGATTTTCGCGATAACTGGCGATCCTCAGTAGAAGCCACGGCAGGATCAATTTCCGCCACGGGTCAGCAAGAATCGTGATTCCTGAACAGCTTTTGCACAGATTGCAGGGGAGACAGAGGTGACAGTTGAGTTGGCACGTTCCGGGAACGCTTCTGACGCCGTCGAAAGCGCGGAGAGTCGCGGTGGCCCGGCGGGATCGAAGTGACGTGTGCGAATGCGACGTAAAGGCAAAGAACTGAAGGGTTTCGCCACTAATAGGGAAATTAGAGGGCTTCTTTATGTGATTCCTTGCTCCGGAAAAGGTTCAGAGACGAGGTGATCTTTTTGCAACAGGCTGATAACCCACACGGCCTCACAATAAGTGCCACCGCGGTTAATGTGGCTAATAACGCGGCAATTTTTCGCTTTGAATTGCTCGCTTGTTCACTGTCGCGCTGGTGCGCAGAGGATGGTGATATTGGTGTGGGCAGGGCAGCGGTGGGGGTGGACCGTGGAGCAGCGGGACGGAAATGAGGAAGAGGAATGATGGCTGCCTTCCTGATCTTCTGGTGCTTGCTTGCGCTTCTCGGCCTATTCGTTGCTGCTCCACCCCCATTTGTGCGCGACCAACCAAAAAAATGTGATTCCTCTCCCTCGGCTCGCACAGGGTTTCCGCGATTGACCAAGCGTGCTTGCTGTGGGGCTTAGGAAATTCCCCGCCCTCCGGTTCGCCCTCGCCGCACCGCCATTTGCACCACACGCGGGTTCTGGGGTCCATGGGAGGTGGTTGCTTGCCCTGCATGCGAGTCTCGCGGACGTGGCGCCGATTGGGACGAGCTGCGCTGGACTGAGCAGTTAGGGAAAGGGGAAAGGGGAGATGTTGGGTCAGATCGGACGGCTGAGATGCTGGAAAGGACCTCCCCAACAGAAGATATTTTCAAGGTGCAAAAAGTGCATGCCAGGTGGCGGTGGAAAGGCAAGGGTGGGTGAAGCCCAGCGTAGAGCAACTAGCGGGAGCTGATGGTAGTACGGTTTGCGTGGGCAGATAACGGTCAGATAGCCAATTAGTTGTTTCTGTTTTTGCAGAACGAAATAAATGAAAACCTCAGAGTGGTGCAAGTATTGGCCCTCACAAAGTTCTACAGTGATCAGCTCTTCTGTTTGAGGCGTGCTTCTAGCAAATGAAAATATCAAGCAGTGCTTTCAAGTGTGCAAAGCTGTTGTGGCGTGGCAGGCGTGCATCTGGGGCTTCGGGAAAGTCGATCGACGTGGCCGATCAGCAGCATCTCAGCATACCCTTTTCAATTATGCGGCTATCGACGCGATCGAAATCTTGCACTTTATCCAACGACGAAACCAAAAAGCGCGCTTCAATTTGGGTGACCTGGAATTTCCAATAGTGGAGGTGCTCCGTCGTTCCCTAAATCGGAACATCATCCGGCCATGACTTGCGGGCACGAGTTTCGCAGAAGGGGCGTCTCGTGCATGCATTTGATATTTTCCCACTTTCATGGAAACTATCTCTAAAATGGCATGATATTTTTCCGTGGGCAGTTTCATCATGTTCCCGATCAAGCTGATTATTGGTTCTAGAAACATGTGGAAAGTTTCAAACGTGCGACCGTTTCAAGTGTGACAAACAGGGAATGATTACGTATTATTTCCTCCCAACTGTTCATGGTCAGTGGAGATATGCCTTTCTTCTACCATATTTCAGACCGAAAGTTAGGAATACCGAATGCTGTACATGTGTTAGCGACCTTACGGTAGTTCATACTGTGAACTAAAAAGAAACTTAGTTAGGAGAGTTGATATACTAGATATACAGTTTCATAACTGAGAAGTTTGTTGGAAACAATTAATTCTAAGCGCCTCTGTCGTGTCGAAACACCAAGTCAGAAGCGAAGCGAAGTATATCGAAGCACCGGCGAGTCAACCCTCGGAGGTTGAGCAGTTGCTAGAGGTTACGCGAAAGTCAAAGGTCAGCGACCTTTGACCTGACAAGTACAGCGCGACAGCAAGGACACACAACTGACTCGTTACAGAGCAGTTGCCCAAGTCGTCACTGTATCGAACCGCAACAGCAACAGTAAATCTCTTTGCAACCGTATCTCTTCGTATTCCTTGTACTCTTATATAATCCTGTATCTCTTTGCTTTAATCAATTCACTTTGCCCTCACATACCAGCGCAAGGTGGTTCAACTACTTCATTAAAACGCTTCCGCTAAGTCCTACCCAGAATTCAACCCTGCAAAGATCCTAACGGCTTTTCTCAGCCCAACAAAGTTGACCTGCATTTTGTTGCTAGAACCACACCTAAAGAGAAACACGAACCATGCTGGCATGCATACACTGATAGGCACATGCCATATCCATCATCTGTCAAAACCAGCAAGGAACAACATACATCTAGTCCGATTAACCTACAAGCTGGCGCTCAGTCCTGCCCGCTCTCCTCTCCCTCGCCATCCATGCTTCTGCCCTCCACCTGTGCATGCAGCAGTGAGCGGTGCAGGAGGCTCTCGGCATCGCGCACCGCCTGCAGCAGGGGAGTGCCAGATGGACACGTGGACGCACCATGCACTGCCACGTGTCCCACTCGGAACCTCTTGCCCTTGTCCTCCAGCCACACGTCAGCATCCCAGTCCTCCTCCGCCCCGTGCCATCCCTCCTCCTTGGCCTGCCATGCAACCGATACAGCGATTAGGCAGAGACAAAGGGAACAGAAGCGGGTTGACAAAATGCTTCATTACAATTTTATCTCGAGTGTCACATTTTCCAAAGTGCAGAGAATCAAAGTGCAACAGATTTAAAGCAGCACATACCGTACAAAGATTCCATTGCCCCAGCTACTCCTCCTGGCTCACCTGCAACCCGAGAAGAATCTCCGCCACTCGGGCAGCCCGGGCAACATTTCGGCCTGCCCCGCTGCCCATGGCGGTGGCAGCACCGACGGCATTGGCGAGTGCGAGTGTGGTGGAGGGCCCTTCGTCGCTGAGAAGCCCCATGGCCACCGCTGCTGCAAAGCTGTCCCCACACCCCACTGTGTCCGCTACGTCTACCTGCCGGCGGGGGCAGCAGTAGTCACACAACAGCGCGGCATATGAGCACGAGTGACTTTGTGTGTTTGTATGTACGATCGTTTCTGTAGGACGTGGAGTGTTGCCAATAGATAGCGAGCAGAGGAAGAGACGGCGTTTACAACCCAAAGAGCGGCAGAGGACAGACGAGCAGAAAGACAGGCTAGGAGAGAAGAAACCAAGGAGGCTAGGAAGAACGCAACAAGTGGTGAGGAGTTACCTTGAAGCCAGGGAGGCTGAACACGCCTTGTGCTGCAGTGGCCAGCACACACCCGTTCGGCCCCTTCTTCACCGCGACCCACTGCGGCCGCTCCTCCTCTTCCTCTCCTTCCTCCTCTCCCTCCCCCTGCTGTTGCTGCTGCTGCTGCTGCTGCTGGTGGTGGTGCTGTTGTTGGTGGTGATGCTTCCATGCCCGGCCGTCCACTGCACCTTCCTCCTCTCGGTCCTCTGGGTCTGCATTCAGCCCAGAGCCCCCAGCGGCAGTGCTGGCAGCAGCTCTGGCCCTGGCCTTGAGCTCTAGCAGCTGCATGGCTGACGCGTTGGGGTCCTGCTCCTGTGTCACCACCTCCGCCTGAGTCACGCCCGTGGGGGAAGAACGAGTGATGGGGGAGGGGGTTAGAGAGGAGGAATTGAGAGGGAAGGTTGGAAAAGGAGAGTTGGAATGGGGAGAATGGAATGGGGATCCAAGACAACGGCTACTTCAGAAAGAAGGGGAGGCAGCACCAGTAACAGATTTTTTTTTCTTTTTTCTTTTTTCTTTTTCGGAGCCAAAAGAATCAAAACAGAATGCACACCTCTTCAGACGTGAGGAGAAGAACATCGCAGTTCATTAACAGCCAATCGAAAACCTCCTTCGACTGCCCGGCTGACCGGAAGAGCGAGCCAGTGCGAGGGCCCGGGTCGAAAAAGACAAGCACGCCTGCCCGTTGCGCGTACTGGGCGGCGGACTGGATGGCGGAGGGCGGGAACTCGTCAAATGCGAAGCCATTTATAAAGAGCGCGCGGGAGCGGGAGATGAGGTGCTGGAAAGCGGGGGGGATGGCCTGTACACGACTGAACGCTGGGTTCTTGTTGAAGTCAAAGCGACTGCAGGGATAAAGAGGGATATAGGAAGGTGGACGGACGAGAAGGGGATGGGTATGGGTATGGGTATGGGTATGGGTATGGGTATGGGGATGGGTATGGGGATGGGTATGAGTACGGGTTGCTGTCATGGGCAAAAAGAAAACAGGGGGAAACGGCATGATGGCTGGTTGTGGTGCTTGTTGCTTGACTGGCCCTTGGCCCATGGGATGTCTCTGCCGGTTGCTCTCATGGGCATGTATTGGGATCGGTTCAGGTGGGAGACGTGTGTGAGATAAGGTAGGTGAAGGAGGGGACGAGCCTGAGAAGCTGGGAAAGAGGGAGAAGAGGAGGGGCTCAGAGGCTTAGGGGAATGCACTAGGAGTACAGGAAAGCGCAAGAGCACATCACACGAGGACACGAGCACACGAGCACACGAGGACACGAGCACACGAGGACACGAGCACACGAGGACACGAGCACACGAGGACACGAGCACACGAGGACACGAGCACACGAGGACACGAGGACACGAGGACACGAGGACACGAGGACACGAGCACACGAGGACACGAGCATCACCTGGCGAAGGCATGGCGCCCATTCTTATCCAAAAACACCCAGCACGCCAGCGTTTCCCCGTCATACCGCCCCTCACTCCTCTCCACCACATCCCCTTCCCCCTCCCTCTCTTTCTCCCCCTCCGCGCCCTCCCACGGCCCATCCCCCAGCGGCCCGTCCACGTGGTCCGCGAGGGGCAGCAGCGCGACGCGCTCGTCCGCCATGATGCGCGCGAGGAACGCGCCAAACGCGTCGCCCGCCACGTGGCCGAACGCCGTGCAGCGCAGCCCCAGGCGCGCCGCTGCTATTCCGAAGTTGAGATTGCCGCCCGCCTCCCAGCAAGACTGCATGCGCGTGGAATGCGGGCAAGAGGGGGAGGGGAGGGGTCAGGGGGGGAAGGGAGGGGGGGTCAGGGGAAGTGGAGAGATGGCAAGTGGCAGGTGGCAGGTGGCAGGTGGCAGGTGGCATTAGAGCTCGCATCCCTTGGCGTCATGGAGCCCTAACGCACGTCGACACAGCACACAACTGCAAGGCACCTGCAAGCCACCAACTGGCGGCAACGATTCTCAGCATTCACACTATCACGCGTCAAATCACTCCAACTCCCGCGCAATCGCCCCCCCCCCCCCCCCCTCCCCTCGCCCTCCCCTCTTCCCTTCCCTCTTCCCCCCACCCCTCTCCCACACCCCTCTTCCCCCCCCCTCCCGCCCCCCGCGACTGTGGAATTTGCGCCACTTCCAGGACCAACTTACCTCATCAGGCGGGTTCGCTTTGACTCGTTGCAGAAATTCCCACTTGCCGCGCCGATCGGACGGCGGTAATTGGTCCACAGCCACAAGCACATCCACGCACAGGTTACCTAGGGTTACCACATCCACCAAATTTCGTCTCCCCTTCCTGCATCCTCGCTCCTCCCGCCTCCCTGACCGTTTCTTCTTCGCCCTCCCCCTTTCGCGAAAAAGTTCGAACACTCTCTCCTTCGTCCACACCCTCCTTGGCCCCCTGCAACTCCTGTGCTGCTGCCTCTCGAACCGTCGCCACGCCTGCCGTGGGTTTCGCGGGGTGCGTACTAGTATCAATGGCGCTGGTTTTAACGTCGCTCGCTTTGGCCTCTTCTAGTGTGAGAACGTTGCCGCTACTCGATGCTTGACCAATGACGTCATCCCGTTGGACGGCTGGATGGCCGTCCCGTTGACGGAGTCCGTTCAGCGAGGCAGCACCGCCGGCGGAATTTCCGAAACGAAAAAGCGACGCAGAGCAGGAAACGTGACGAGAGGTTGCTACACGAGCGGAACGCAAGTGCCGTCTGTGCTGTGTGCACGCATCGCTCTGACGAGCGGCGAGCGGTGGAAGGCGGCAAATTGGTGCGATGGATATCGACATAATGCCTTAATCTAAGCGGGAAACCGCAATGACTCGACTCAAGCGCGAGACTGTGACGGAGAACAGGCGAAGCGCAGCCAAGGAGTGACCGAGAGTAAAAACTCGCGACTGCTGCTCTCGCTCAGAGAGGGAGCAATGAAAGGAAGGACTGAGGGGCCGCTTTGTGCTGTCATACGGTACAGAACAGAGGAAAATGGGAGAGAATGACTCCAGTGGCCAAGAAGGTGATTCACCATCCCTCGCGTGGCCACGAATGACTCGAGTGGCCACCCAATTTGGTGATAATGCCTCGAGTGGCCACGCCAGGGGATTCTTGCTGGCTTTTTTTTCTTCGGCGCATTACCCTACGGGGCTTTGTAGCCCCGAAATTCCCCATTCGTGCGAGGGTTATCACGCTTAAGTGTACATAACCATTGACCACCCGAAATTTTTTTCCAGGGTGGCGGGCTCGAACGTGGCCCGCCCACTGTACAAGAAACCGACAAATATTCTGAACAATAGTGTTAGCGCGACCAATTTCGAGCTAATGCGCGACCAAATACCAAACCAATTAGCGATCGAGCATATTGCACCACGATCATATACTTCTATTGACCCGAAACGATCCGTCACAGCAATTACGACCGCGCATGATTGGTCAAGATTTATGCGCGGTGCTGTTGTGGCCATTGCGCGTCCAATCAAGCGCAATCATTAAGGTTTGGCGATCATATTTGAACGCGTTCATTTATACACAATTTCCTATATGATCCCGCCAATCATATACTAAAAACACTCGCAAAAGAGTTAAACTCTGGCCAATTAGGTTCGTATTAAGGCGCTCAATCTGGTTTGGTACGCCCTTTCCATCTTCCCGCGCTTTACCATTTGACCCATATGCTAGAGATCGCTCACACCATTTCTTCTCGTCGTTTTAGGGTTGACATCTACCTTAGCCTTTGATTAGACCAGTTAGGTCCTTATAGTAGGTTCATCTAGGAGGGCCTACGGTTAGAACGTTCCTATTTGCCGCAATGAGTTCGACGTCATATACTTCTAACACAGAGTCCGACTCAGGCGATGACGACACAGAGTTTTGCTTCGTTGGAACTGGAGAGCCGAAGCAAAGCGATATGTACCGTGCGTTGCTCCGGGAAATGGTCACCGACGAGGCTCCCTCGCCACAAATCGTCATAGATGATCGAGCACCGTTGTGTGAAGGTCAACTTTACTCGTCTAAGCAATTTTTGTACGAAGCACTGGAGGACTATTCCGTAGCTTGCAACTTCGGATTTAGGGTTACGAGGAGTAGGCGAAACAGAGCCAAAGCCATTTGCATGAGTCAACATGAGCGTCGTAAACCCCCGTGCCGGTGGCAGTGTGAGTACTCTACTGACGGAGTGGGTGGGTTTTGGCGTGTCGATAAACTGTCCGCCCCATCATCCCACTGCTGCTCACTCGTTGATCGGGACCGCTACGTGATACACACGACAAATAAAGTGTCCTATCTGCAGCGTCATCACGGCAATCTTGTCCAAGCTGCACCACATCACCCTCCCGGGACGTACAAGGAACAGATTGCGTCTACCGGTGGTCCCGATATTAATTATAAACAATCTTGGCGGTAAGTTTTCTAGCATTCATTCCACATGACTGCTATTGTCACATGCAAGTTCTTAATCACCCTTTCCACCTCATGTGTGTGCCACCTTCTGTTGTTATCTTGCACACTATCGTCCGTTTTTGCAGGCTCAAGGAAAAGATGCTGAAGGAACGTTTTGGAGATTGGAAAACGTCTTTTCGCTACATTCCGCGGGTGTTGGAACGCTTCAAAGAGATTGACGCCGATTCAACGCTCGATCTGGTGACAAGGGATCACGCTTTCTTCCGGGCTTTTGTCGCCCCATCGGCGTCAAGAACTGCTCTAAGGTTCTGTCGTCCAGTCATAGGTTTGGATGGTACATTTCTTATTCGTGCGCAACGGGCCACGCTCTTGGTAGCAGCTGCTAAGGATGGAAATAACCAGCTTGTTCCACTCGCTTACGGCCTGTGCGAGAGTGAAAACAAAGATAGTTGGAAGTGGTTTTGTGAGCATTTGTTGAGGCATTTTCCGTCGTGGCCGGCCACCCAGGATGCCTCCCTCATCAGCGATCGTGACAAGGGCTTAATTTCGGCGGTTAAAGAAGTTTTCCCATCCCAATTCCCCCACTACTTTTGCAGCTGGCACTTGGAGCAGAATGTGCTCAAGTTTGGCCCTAACGCCTCCGAACTCTTCAAGAAACTCGCCAACTGCCGCACTAAGCGGAAGTTTGGCAAACTCGTGAGGAGATGTCGGGCCAAATGTGCTGCAATGGCTAACTATCTCTTTGGGGTCGAGGAGGCCAGTGCGCAGCAGAGCCGTGGCGGACGCGGGGCCAACCAGCGTGCACGGGAGCGAGATGCGGGGGATGGGTTGACAAGCCGTACGGGTGCTGCTAGAAGCGCGAGAATGGCAAGGATGGAAGTGCGGCGGCAAAGGAGGAGTGGTCGCAGGGGAGGGCAGCATGCACCATCACAGCAGGAACCTTCTCAGCAGGCACCATCTCAGCAACGACCATCCCAGCAGCCATTGACACAACCACCATCATCGTTGCAGGGACGATCTCAGCTGCCACACGCTCGGCAATATCCATTACAACAGCCACCATCTCAGCGTACACCGTCAATCCACAGAAGAGTACATCATCATTCACGTCAGCAACAATCAGGCCAGCAGCCAGCATTCCAGCAGCAGCCATCTCAGCAGCTTCCATCGCAGCCGCCCCAAAGGGACCATGGGTTGCCCCCCATGCCAACTGCAGATCCCACGTGTCACCGGCCTAGAGACATGCAGCCTCAATCGGCGGCTGCTGAGAACATGCATCCACTTGATCGTGTGACAGCAACCACATCCGCGCACCCTGCAGCGGCAGGTGAGAATGAGAGAGACAATGCTACAACCATATCAGACAGTGAGGCGGAGGCAGATACCACAGATGAAGTATTCAAGGAGCACTTTGACGTGGAGGATGGGAGTCAAATCAGCTGCGGGAAGGATTCGGAGCATGATGGGGATGAGGAGCGTACAGACATGGGCCATGGCTGCCAATCCAACAATACTACAACTCAACCGCCATCCACCACAACAGCGCAACACGCGGCCATGAGACGCCAGCGGAGGATGGAGATTATCAGGGGAAGGCGGAGTGCAAGAGAGGCAGGTGCAAGAAGGCGGGAACGCGCCGGTTCACCAGTAGCACACCTGCCTACGCAAGGGAGCCAAAGTGCGCGTCAGCCACTGCCGCAGCAGGATGTTCCGACAAACATGGGTCGGGCCAACGAATCCGCAGCGGCAACGGACGTTAACCACGGTGTAGAGACGGGATTGGGGGGGTCGGGCAATGCTGATGCTGAGCGTGTGGACAGTGACACAATGGAGGATGGGGCGGGCATTATTGTTCGCACGGGCCAGGATGGACCGAGATACAAGAGGAAAAAGAAGATCACAGTATTCATCAAGCAATGGGCACGGTGTTATGCCCCCACATGTCGGTTTGGCATTTACAGCAGCCAGATGGTGGAGTCGATCAACAACGCTATTAAGAAGATCCGCATCTTGCCGGTATCTTACGTGATGGCGGGCATGTGGGATTGGATGGCTAAAATATACTCGGATGGGCAGAAAAAGTCATCCAACTGGCAGCATGCATTGACGGTCGAAGCTGAGAAGCGGTTTGAGCTGAAAAAGAACCGAAGCCGTGGTTACAGGGTGACACGCAATGGGCCGAGCAAGGCAAGAGTTCGGAACAAGGGGAGCTCTTTGGACCGACGTCCCCTCTCCTTCAACAATGATGTGGGAGAGAGATTATGCGAGTGCAAGAACTGGCAAGAATATCGGTTTCCTTGTTCTCATGCGTTTGCACACTTACGGGATAGGCAAATGGATGTTATCCCCTTGATCACCAGGTACTGGAAGACGGAGAACTGGAGAAGGACGTACTCGGCACTCATTCCGTATTCGTGTATAGACACGGTCATCGCGGAGACCAAGCCCGTTGAGGAGGGAGTTTGTGACCCCCCCGTATTTGTGCAGAGAGGATCAGGGCGGCCACAATCTAACCGAAGGCGTGAAGCCCCAAAACGGACATACAAGTGTGGCGACTGTGGGTCTACTCAGCATACCAGGAAGAAGTGTAAGGGAAAATATGGGGGGTCAGAGGTGTATCATGTAGCAAACTAGTGTTGTGGGGTACGATTATTTGCTGAGTGTTGAATAATAGGAACTGTGGGAGGCTGCTTATTTTATGGTTATATATGAATATAGGAGACTCTCACGAACTTAGATTAATGATCCCACTTATGACCAGTCATATGATCATATGTTCCCGACCAATGACATTATCGTGAACAATTGACCGGCCATATAGCCTTCCGCTCTTGACCAGTAATACCCCACACGCACATCCGATTGCGCATATGCAGCCTCGTATATGACCGGTCATATACGCAAGAGCATGTGACTGGTCGAAACACAACGCGCATATCACCGGTCCACCAGGCAAATTTGGGGTTCGATGTAACCGCGCACGCATACCGTTACATCCGAGAGAAGGATACAATAAAGTGGTTTCGTTAAATGATATATTTACAATGGAATTATGGTTGTAAATGTCAAAACTTCCTCACGTAAATTGTGGTGCCCCGCAGGGTGTTGTTGAAACATGTATTCACGCTTATGGTGTCATGCAGTAGGCTGGAGAGCAGTGTCGGCACAACATTCCTACTTTCTAATCGGGAATGCATGGAATATGATTTGCCGTGCTCAATGTGTACCCATGGCACAAATGGATATAACATTGCGTCAGTGGAGTTTCTCCACCATGGCACTAGGATGTTTATGTATAATGTTCTCAATGTCACAATTGACACTAAGACCAGTGCAACAGTTACGGACTGGTAGCACAAACATGGTATGAAGCAACCATGGTAATAATCAACGGTGGCAAAGTTACCACACTGCAAAGGCCGCAATAAGGGATTGCTCGGTAACATTGTAATTCAGCCATGTTGTGTAACCAATGCCACCGGATCCTCTCGCTGGAGTTATCATTACACTTTGTTTGCATGTGTCGTGACTGCAATTAAGAGGGTTATGTTCCCCAAGCATTTATGGCGAAACACAAGTAACAATTGCAAAGAAATAGCGTAGGTTAACGATGTGGTGTAACCATTGTGACCGGACCCTACCTGTGATTCAGGCAATACCAAGTGTTTCCATGTGTTGTCATTGCAACTAACCGGGCTTCCGCATCACAAGCATTAATGACGATGGTCCATTGCATATAATGGTGCAATCAATATGGTGTTGCAGTTTAGTGGTGGTACGTTAAGAAAACACATTATCATGGTCTGCCATATTACCTTATAAACTGTAGGAACAAAAATGCACCATTCGGCCGGGAAAATATTTCACATACAAATATCTGCACTGCTATGTGGGTCCTGTCAGAATGTTATGCTCTAGCCTGTAGTGGGGTGCTCTATAGCGAGTACAACCCTTCTAGGGTTTGCTATTTGTATCGTCATTCCTGCTAGTGAACTCCCTCTTTGCCTAAACTGTTTCTTGCCTAGCTAGGGCTTTCCTAGCTATGGCGCCTTCTTCTACTGCTTATCTTCACATGGTTTTAGAGCGATATGCTCCTGGCCTGTGGGTCCCACCTCACTGCTTCCGCTGCTACTGCTACTCTCTGTGTTGCACGCCCCGTGGCGTGCAACGGATTTTTCATCCCGCCACGCGCTCGGAGCGTGCGGCGGTTTTCTGCCCGCCGTGCGCCCCGAGGCGCGCGGCGGTTTTCTGCCCGCCGTGCGCCCCGAGGCGCGCGGCGGTTCTCTGCCCGCCGTGCGCCCCGAGGCGCGCGGCGGGTTTCTGCCCCGTCACGCAGCGCGTCGCTCCCGGGAGGCGCTGCGACGGGCGACGGGGACCCGCGCGTCGCCCCCCGTCACCCGTCGTGGCCTGTGCGCGGCCCGTACAGCCTGCGCGCGGCCCGTACGGGCTGCGCCAGGCCCGCGCGCGGCCAGTACGGGCTGCGCCAGGCCCGCGCGCGGCCCGTACGGACTGCGCCAGGCCTGCGCGCGGCCCGTACGGGCTGCGCCAGGCCCGCGCGCGGCCCGTACGGGCTGCGCCAGGCCCGCGCGCGGCTCGGGCCACCTGCGCGCGGTTCGGGCGGCTGTGCCAGGCCCGTGGGCGGCCCGTTCTTCGCTGCCCCTGCGCTGCCCGCTGTCCCCCGTGCTTCTGATGGCGCCCCACCCCTGCTACTGCCCGTTCTCCTGAATTAGGGTTTGGGGGTGGGGGGCATGGGGGTGCAGCTTCTGTGTGCCGTCCCCTGCTCCTCCTCCTCCTCCGTCTCCCAGTGCTGCAGCTGCCGCTGAGGGGGGTGGACCTGTTGGAGCCGTCGGAGTGGTACTAAGGGGGGTGAAGGGGGAGTGGAGCTAGGGGTGAAGCAGGGGGTGTGTGTCAGGGGGGGTGGGACTGTTTGGGGAGGTTGAACGAAGGTTGCCGTCGTGTCGCCAGCAGCACCTGTAGTCCGGGGAGTTGCTCCGGTAGCCCAGTCGCAGCCACCTGTGCCAGTCGCCCGTGGGTCCGTTGCTCGTCTGCCGCTACTTTTAGCCGCGGGGCCAGTTACTCCAGTAGTCCGGAGCGCTGTTCCGGTAGCCGCTGTGCCAGTGTGCCTCCTGTTGCCCGTGTGTCTGCAGCTTCAGTCGTCGCCTCCTATCTCCTCTCCTCTTACAGTCTCGCCTCCTCCTCCTCACTTGCCCTCTGCGATAGCCTCTAGCTTTGCTCATAATTGTGAACTTTAAACTATTGCTTCTTGTACTTGTGCTCAGAATGTGTGGTGACATTGTGATCCACCCTGAGCTTGTTCTGTTTTGCTTGCTCTGCTGATTACACCCCACTTTGGCTATGGGGGTGTGTCAGAATGTTATGCTCTAGCCTGTAGTGGGGTGCTCTATAGCGAGTACAACCCTTCTAGGGTTTGCTATTTGTATCCTCATTCCTGCTAGTGAACTCCCTCTTTGCCTAAACTGTTTCTTGCCTAGCTAGGGCTTTCCTAGCTATGGCGCCTTCTTCTACTGCTTATCTTCACAGGTCCTATATTGAGCGCAGACGTAAGGTACAACATAGTGTTCAACGCTGTGTGTCAGGGCATTTTTGGTGGTTTTTTATATTTTTTTTCATGCGGTTTTTTTATATTTCGATGTGGGCCACCATTGACACATTCCATGTATTGCCCTAGCTGCTAGACACAACCTTGTTAGGTAGCTGGCCAAGTATCATTGATCGGTGATTTTTTCCGTCATAATCATATCATTATTTAATTCATGTTTAAGAAATGAATTTGTTGCACCGAATCAAGAGGCCACATTGCGCAAAATACAAAATCAAGTACATCGATAAATCACCGATCATAACAATGCAATTTGGATGCCTGATTTGCACGTATGCATTGCGTGTTTTTAATTCACTTTGATAATGTACTCAGCAGATGAAAAAGTAGTTACACTGAAGCCATATCTAATTTCCACACTCATTTCGTAACAACGCGTACACCAACGCGTGCAAATAAATCGTGCACTTTACCGGTCTTGGCCGACGTGCCAACCATAAGTGGATATGACCGGTCAATTCCGCCGGTCATATCCCACGCAGACATGACTGATCAATTAGCGCGGGTTATATGACCGGTCAATTCCGGCATGAATTTGATTGGTTGGCGCGCTTGATTGAATCATATGCATAGCACGGCGATTTGACCGGTGGGATTGCGCGTGGATTAGCCCGGCCAATTTCGATGCCTTTGATTGGTCGGTGCATATAACCGATCATATGCACTCGTGTTTATCTGACTGTGTTTGAATTTTGACCGGTCAATTTTGACCTCGCATGTGATTGGTTCGCGCATTTGAGCGTCATATGCGCTGCTCGTCTTCCCTCTTGCGCATCAAGAACATTCATGCGCAATTCAACTTCGATTTTCTTCGAAAGTCCGGCTACGGTTACAGCGCAACCAATACTATTAGTGCCTCCGTACAATGTGCGAAATTGCAAAAGGCACTCGTTACATCGACCGTCGGCAAACGAAAAAGCATAACTGTGTAATCGTGCGAGAGGTACGGGTTTGAACCCAAACCACTGCACCATTTAACCACGCCATACGGCAGACATATTGCTCTCGATATGTCAAGCAGAACACAAAGTTAGGGTTAGATAGTGCCATGAGTGGATCATAAGCTTCTACCGTTTTAGGTCTCTAGCACCCCGCCCTATCACAAACTGCATTTTCCTTAATACTAGTGCGGACAGCGAGCGTGTAGGCCGTGGAGATGTCAGGTCGTGCAGCTCGTGGTAGAGGGAAACGTCAACGAGGACGCGATGGCACGTCAACGCCCGACGTGGTATCGGGAGAGGAAGACGGTGTTCGTCGTAGTGATAGGCTAAAATTGGCCTCCGCAAACGCGACGACAAACAAGGAGGAGTGCTCCACGCCGTCTGATCCGGTGGTTTTGAAAATAGCCCCGCACGATTATGGCGTAGAGCCGGAGTTTGAGACGCCGATGGGAGCCCCGGACGATCTCATCGAGAAAATCACTGGTGGTAAAAAGCTCCCGTTCCTGAATACACAAGACTTGTCTAGAGCTACTGCGGGGAATTTTAAGCATCCCTTTTTCCCCACGAATGCGATTCGCGACCATCACGGCATGACGGCCGTGATCACGATGGCCGACGCTCTGCACATCACAGATGATCAGCCGATCACGCAGCCGCTCATCGATTTCCATAATATGTAAGCGCATTTCAACATACACCCAAAATCTCGTGCTATACCTTGTGTCTTGATTATCGCACATCCGATTGTCTCACCCGTGTGCCATATGTTGTACTCCCTATTTCACCGCAGAGTGCTCAACATCCGCCAACCAAAGTTGAGCAACGGCAAGACGTGGCTCGCGTTGGACAGTCAAAGTTACGAGTACTTCTGCTCTCGGGGCAAGATAGCCAGTGGAGACTCTAGGCCGTCGATCTTCAGCTTCGACTATCTCGCTATGCTAATCTACGGCGGGTAAGTGACATGATCCCGTTTGTGGTCTAGCATTGAAGCATATGGCTTCCGGTGTTGCTTTGCCTGATTGTAACATTAGTGGTGTAATGCGGTGACGATGCAGGTTTCATTTCAGCGTGATGATTGTGGTCAATCCAGGAGTTGTGACCCTCCCGCTCGACGACAACACCGCCACCCCCCCTGCGTGGTTGCTGCTGTACGACTCCCTTGGGATGCATGCTGTGGGAGGCAATGCATTCAAGAACATGACCAAGTAAGTGTTTAGAGAGCCACTTGTATTTCCCTTACAAGCACTAAAAAATGATCGTGCGAGTTTATGTGTCATGCATTCAAACTTCAACCGCGTCCACTTCCTTCCCATACGCCCTCACAGTTTGCTCGGCATGGCCTTCGAGAAAGAGCACGGAAACCGACCTATAGAAGAGATGAAAGCGAGGCTCGGGCGATTCCAGCCACAAGTCATGAAGGTGTGTTTACATGTTGTACGCTCGTATAACTTGCAACAACCTGCATGCGCTGACATGCTGTTATAGCAACCGATGTAACCCTGCCACAACCATGCGCATGGTGCACCCTTGGTCACGATGCTGCGAAACTGCCAATGGAGTGTTTTCGGGTGTATGGTGCCAATGTGCTGAGTGCTACATTCAGTATGTGCATGGTGCGTTCAGTTATGTTTAACACAGCATGACCCTTTCCCGTATTGCAGGCGTGGCAGATGCCTTTGCAGCAGAACGATGTTGACTGCGGCATCTTCGTCTGCCAGTACATACATGCGCTTGTGGAGGCGTGTTTCGAAGGTGCTGAGAACGGGGTGCGGTTCAGCATGAGCCCGTTGGCGTACCGACGTGGGTTACGGGAGGATGTATGCGCTCTTGCAGAAGGGCGGCTGATCGGCGAGCTCACGGCAGCTGGGCATGAGATCCCTCCTGGCAATGAGATAACGAAACCGCATGAGGCTGAGGTGATTGGCGATGAGGTGGAGGATAAGGAGTGGAGAGCGGAGATGGCCGAACGGATGCATAGGCTGGGGGTTCGCAATGAGGGTCAGGCAGTGGCTATTGCCAAGCTCGAGAGGCAATTGCGTGAGCTGATGCTTTCCCGTGCTCCGCAGCATGGCGTTGACGGTGAGGCTGCAGGGGAGGGACATGGTAATGAGGCAGGGGACGGTGGAACTGATGAACCTGCAGCTGTGGAAGTCAAGGGAAGGGTCAATGCTGGCACGTATGACAGCATGGGAGGGGCACATGGTGAGGGTCCTGTGGCCGCGGGTGCGAGGAGTAACAGTGCGAAAGTGGGGGTGCGTGCTGAGGGTGCTGGAGGCTTGCTGGGTGCTGGCGAGGCCGTGGGTGCTGGCGAGGCCGTGGGTGCTGGCGAGGCCGTGGGTGCTGGCGAGGCCGTGGGTGCTGGCGAGGCCGTGGGTTCTGGGCATGGTTTGACAGCCTCGAACGCCGACGTGGATTTGGTGTCAGCATACAGCGCAGGGACAGAGACGACGAGTCGCAATAACGCGCGTGGTAGAGCTCCTAGCTCAGGTTATACAGGAGTAAGCAAACGGGAAAATAAGTGGGCGGCGAAGCTGTGTGTAGATGGTCCTAGAGGCAAATTTTTAGCGCTCGGACGGTACACCGATATCCTGGAAGCCGCAACAGCCTATGCCGCAGCCGCTCACATCTGCCGACCGTCCCTCTCCGGCTCAAAGATGGTGGAGTTGACCGAGGAGGACAGGAGGTGCTTGGAGGGTTTGACGTCAAAAGGGGTTGAGCGGATTGTGGATGCCAAGCGGTGGCCAGAGTGGAGGAACTGGCGTGCAGTGCTCAGCAGCCTCCCTGAGCCTTCCACCCCAGCGGCAACTGGAGTTCACACACAGGCCCCACCTCCCTTTTCCCACCAGCATCCTGGAGCCACGTTTGGCTACCATCAGCCAGCTGCCACCTTCGCGGGACACGCCGGTGCGACCCCAAACCAAGGTGGATGGCAGCCGTACAGCCAGAGCCACCCTCCTCCCAACCTCCATTATCCATCCCAGCCATTTCCATTCAACCATATCCCAATCCATCCATTCGGCCAGGTGCAAGCACCTATTTCTGTACACCCAGTCCGTGCAGTACCCATTGCTCCCAACCCTGCAGGCCATACCGCAGCACAAAACACAGCACCCTATCCGCATGTCCTACCCACACCACCAGCCGTTGCACCCAGCACGGCACAACAGGGAACAGACCCACACGCCCACCAGGTTCCGCCCTCTGAGGAAAATGCACAGGCCAAGGTAGTTGGCATGACAGATTCCCAGCACAGTCTGAGCATGCCCACTGCACCCAACAACCCCAACCCCCCGTCGCACGGCTCCGCACTGGCAAGTGAGCCAGCAGCAGGTGAGATGTGTTGATGTGTCATAGTTTTGCGTATCCATAGCCCGTCAAAATCCTAACCATGTAATAATTCTTGAATTTGTTTCATGACCGTGTGCAGGGCCAGCAGACGACATCATCGATGCCTTCCTAGGTCAAGCAACGCAGTAAATCCTGTGACATTTGGTGATACTGGAATTGCGTGATCCGTAAACATCAAAACGATCTACTTAAACTATGGTATACATGCGTCGATCCTAACCTGACATGCCAATAGATATATGCAGAGCAGTATAACCCTCCGCGCATATCACCACATGAAAGGTGTTCACAGTGTTATCTAGAGTAACGGCAAAACAAAACTCAAGACAGTAGCCACGACATACCAAATATACTCAGGGAGAATAAGTTTTTGGATTTTATGTTTAGGTTTTATAAGCTCACTACGCATCATCAAAAATGCGCGCACATAAAGGTTATTGCGCGGCCTTATATAATATATGACTGCGCCTTTGTTTGGACGTTCTATGATTGGGCGCGCAATGTCTGGTCATATCCTGCGAACAAGACAAACCAATCACGCGCGGTCATCTGATTTCTCGCGAACCGACGGCCGATCATTTCAGTTTATGATCGGGAACTATACGATGGCACCTGATTGGACGCGCATATCTCCTGACCAATCGAGCGCGGTCGTTTTTGCAGTGTCGGTTCGTTTCGGGTCAATTGCAGTATATGATCGCGAAGTCATATGCTCGTTCGCTGATTGGATGTGAATTATATTGACCGCGCGCTCATTTGTCGAGCATTTGGCCGTAAATGACTGGTCAATGTACTGTTTTTCAATGTACAGTGAGCGGGCCACTTTCGCGTCCGTGAGCCTGGCGAAATTTTCGGGTGCGGAACAGAACGGAACACTACCTAAGGATAACCCTCGCACGAATGGGGAATTTCGGGGCTACAAAGCCCCGTAGGGTAATGCGCCGAAGAAAAAAAAGCCAGCTAGAATCCCCTGGCGTGGCCACTCGAGTCATTATCACCAAATTTGGTGGCCACTCGAGTCATTCGTGGCCACGCGAGGGATAGTGAATCACCTTCTTGGCCACTGGAGTCATTCTCTCGGAAAATGGGGGTCGTTGGGAAGAGGGGAAGGTGGAGTGGAAGGGGAGAGGGAGAGAGTGAGGACGCGTCACCTCTCGTGAAAAAATTGCTGATCGACCCGGAGTTGGTTCGGGGTTTAGATTTTACAGTGTTTTGGCGACATCGCCAAGAGCGTGGTTTCCTGAATTAGCGCGCTTACGCAAGTGTACAGTAAACTGGTCATCAAGCTGCTGTCACCTCTCGCTCGCGCGATCGATGTGCCGGACATCAAACATCGTGCAATTTTGCACCATAAATTTTCGAACCTGTAACCCCTGGCTCGGTGTGCCTAGGTGTTGCGAATCTGCTGTGTGCAAACACTGGTGTTAAGATCGATCGTGCAAACACCGGTGGTAGCCTCCGATCCTGCAATGTTACAAAGAGGTGACGCGTCCTGAGGGGAGGGTGGAAGAAAAGCTGCCGAAGAAGGAAGCTGACGGTGTGCTGCCTTGCCGAACCTCCGCCGTCTCGAAAGTGGTTTTGGCTGCTCTGATTGGGCCTCTATTTCCTCCCTCCCCTCGTTTCCTGTCACGAGCCTCTTCGAGAACATCCAGTACCGTTCAATTCTGCCCGACCACACCGGCATGCCGTCAAGTCTACGACAACGCGTCAAGTCTTACAGTAAAACCTAGGCGTGAAATCCACATCTGTGCGGAGATCACTCCATCCAAGCCAACATGCTTGCTTTCGTATCATCAGGGCGGGTCATACCTATCACAGGTCAGGTCAGTTTTGGCCGATGTAACCCTTTTTTGCAGGGTAACCGCATCAAAAGTTGAACCGAATGTATCATGACTTGAGAGTTCGCCAGTCCTGAAGTGGCCCAGTCAAGTAGAATGGGACTTCCGAAGGATGAGGTTACGGGATCAAACCCCAGTGCCGGTGAGTTCCGCCAGCCCCCCAGGAGGGGATTTCGCACTGCTCATCTCGGAGTGGATATATCCTTACCTCGATACCCAGCGAGGCGTGTAAACAAGTGGGTAGGCGGATTACGATCGACAGCCGGGGGTAACCCAAAGGGGGATTTCCTCCCTCCTTTACCTTTACCTTTCCGAGCACCAAATGGACACTGCTCATGAAATCGCACGATTTGGTGTTTGTTTTCCGAACTGTGGTCATTTTCGAAAATTTTGTGTGATTTCCCAAATTGTGATGAGTATGACCCGCCCTCACTTCCATGTTCAGTCCACTTTTTTATTTTAAACAATATCTATATTTTTTTTCCATCACCTATGTCTCTACCAAGTACAACTACCATATCATGGGGTCCTGGCTTCCTACTTCAGGTACCTTTATACCATGCACGATTACCAGAGGCAGCACGGGTGTCAGCAGTTAAGGCAGAAAAGCACTCCAAACATTAAAGAATCGACCTACACAGAATCCACCTGTTGCACCTTTGAACACCTTTCCTCCTTCCATACTACAATACTCGTCTCCAGTGTACTACAGCTTGGATGATGTAGCCATGGGAACCACCATGTCCTTCTTGGCAACTTCCAAATACAGAGCATCAATCTCCTTCTCAAAGTAGGCCTTCGCTTGGGGCCTCTTGACCTGGGAAACGAGACAGGAGCAAAGTGAAGCAGCACACAAGCAAGACACCAACATTCCAACCACCTCAAAACTCACATTGAACAAGCATCACCAAAGACCAACTGGAGGGAAACAAACATTCGGCACATACCGACGACACACATGTGCATCATCCCTGCCTGTTCTTACCTTAAAGGTGGGCGTGAGCAATCCATTCTCCAATGTGAACGGCTCCGCAACAAGGTGCACTGCCTTCACAAACTCAAACCCACGCAGCTGCAAGCACACAACAGGCAACATCAGCACCACAGCCCAACATATTGCTTAGAATCACAGAAGACGAAAAGCTTGCAGATCATCGCAAGCAGCTATGCCAACGCAGCAAACGAATGTGCTAGAGTGATAAATGAGCTGTACCTTGGCCTCCTGACCCACTCGGTCCATGTCTGCAAGCACTGCAGCCCGCGTTACAGGGTCCTGGCACAGGCGCGGAACATCCTCTGCGTACTGTTGGGCAGCACATGGGGGGAAGAGCAGCACAGGGAGGAAAGGGGAGCCCCCAGGCATGCGGAAATGAAACCCAAGATGGTTGCGTGAGAAGGTTAATAAGGACGTAGGTGCGGATGGTGAGAAACAGGGAACAGGGGCATTCAGGCATGGATGGTGGTGGGTGGGTGGGTGCGAGGGAATGGCTTACAGGAATGCCTCTGCTCTTGGCCCACGCTGTGATGCCATCAGGATCCACCACCACTATGGCCACCAGATTGGCGTTCAGACTGTCACCTGGGGAAGCAAACAGAGCAGCACAGAGGAGAGACAGACACAAAGGAAGCACACACAGCCACACGCATAACAAGAAGGGTGAGGAGAGACGAACGGGACAGAATGGGGCCCAGCAGATAGAAGTTAACAGCTCTATTGGTTAGAGTGGCCACAGGGAGGGAAGGAGGAAGGGAGAGAAGCAGGAGAGTAGGGAGGGGCAGCCTACCATGGACAAAGCACTGCTGAATGAGCGGGCTGCGCAGGTAAGTGTTCTCAATCTTCTCCGGTGCCACGTACTCGCCCTGCGACAGCTTGAAAATATTCTTCTTCCTGCACACGCCACCACACGGCCAATCAGACATGTCTCACGTAAGCCACGCCACACCTCATCAAGCTCACATGCAGTAGGCAAGAATAGCATCAGGTTCAAACCAGGAAACAAAAAGCACAAACCAACCGCACCTCAAGCGTCAAAGGCAGTGCCGCATGGACAAGATAGGTCACCTGTCAATGATCTTGAGGCGGCCCATGGGAAGCCATGTGCCGATGTCCCCTGTGTGCAGCCACCCATCCTCGTCTATCAACTCCTCCCTGTGGCAGCGGAAGGCAGGCAACCAGCAGACCGTCACGCACACCGAACCTAACAGTCACAAGCAGGATTCAGGCTGCAACACAAAGCCTAAAGATGTAATAAAAGGCCGAGAGGATGGAAAGATGAATAAAAGCCCTCTCTTGGTTGCTCGAGTGAGCAAGAAGCACAAGGGCAGGAGGAGGAAGGGTGGTTGAGATGCCATTCATACGTCTGCTTGGGGTCCTTGTAGTATCCCTTGATGATCACGGGTCCCCGCACACAAATCTCCCCCCGAGGGTACGGCCGGTCCGATGAAAGGTAGTCCATCTCAGGCACGTCCACTAGCTTCACCTCTGATACAGTCACACGCAAAGGCACAGACATGACGCAGCACAAACGGATGGGGCATAGCATATGCGAGATGAGAGGGTGGAGAGAGAAGGACGACACAGTCAAACAAAAGCAAGCAGGAGTGGCGGTGAGAGGGTAGGGGTTGTCTGGGGAAGGTGTGGTGTGGATGTTACTGGACGCACCACATGCAGGGTTGGGTGAGCCCACGTGGCCTGACGTGGTATCATCCTCGTCCACCAGCGATATCGTGCATGTTGTCTCTGTCATGCCGTACCCCTCGCACACACGCGCTCCAAAGCAGCTGCACTCGGAAAGGATAAAAACAGGGTGTAGGGGAAAGGGGTTGTGAATGCGAGGAAGGAGGGCGGGGGTAGCGGAGGCGGTGTGATGAGGCAAAATAGTGACAAGAGCGAGGCTCAAAGCAACATGTGCAGGTGCCCATTCCGAAGCAACAGCATCCAACTCCCGCCCGTTGCTTGCAGGCGGTGTGCAGCCATGTGAGCAAACGGACTCCGCACCGCCAAACATGAGCCACGCATCATGAACCATGAACCATGCATGTACACACGGGCTTACATGCGGAGGAAGTCAAGGACCTCGGGGGAGATGGGGGAGGCGCCTGTGATCATGAGGCGCACTCGCCCTCCCAGCCGCGCCTTCACCTTGTTGAACACCAGCCGATCCCACACTGCTGACGGCGCCTTTCCTGCCATCCATGCCCCATCATTCCATGCCATGCCATTCCATGCACACATACACAGATACTGCTACAGTGGTGATGTATAGATTCGAAAAGATCTAAACAAACAGA